TCAACATTCCTAAAGGACCCAAGTCCTGAATCTCCCCAGCTAACCCACTGGCGCTGCTGGAAAGGCCTGGAGTCTCTTGGTGGACCTCTGGAAAACGACGCCAAAATGAAGGGAGGAGAAAACCAGGTGGTCTACTTCCACAGCACAGTTTCCTCACTGGGGCTGGGTTTCCGCCCAGGTGTCCGAGGGCCCGGGTGTCGGGGTCACCCCGGGTGGGAGGGCCGTGGACCTCGCTCCAGGACCAAGCAGGCAAGGCCGCCCTCCCCTACCCTGTAAACGCCCTGTTTCTGGGGTTCCCCCTGAGCCGCCCCATTCAGAGACAAGACGGAAGATGACTTCCCCAGCGTTTTAAGGGCAGGGTCCCCAGGTGCGTAGCGCAGGAAGGGGAGCCCAAGGGTTGCCAACGCCCCTCCGCACTAGACTGCAGCCCCCGTGGCGACGCTGGGCAGGCGGAACCGTGCCTAGACGGTGCCCAGGTCTCCAAGCGTGGCCAGCTCCATCTTCAGGATATTACCAGTCACTTTGTCCTGGGGAAGGGGAGGAAAGAAAGAGGGACCGGAAGGGGCAGGGGTGGCAGCAGTAAGGGAATGGATTGGGAAGAGGGATGATGATCTTAGATGATGCTGGGGTGCTGGGACCCAAGCCTAGGCATGACTCACCCTCCCCCCCTCCCTCCTGCCCAGAGACCTCTCCAGCACCTCATGGAGTCCCAGGCTTTTCCCTGTGGCTGCTCCGGGATCCTTCAACCCAAAGGGGACAGCATAGGATCCAGCGAGCCTTCACAGCGTGTGCGTGTGTTAGTAGTTCAGTCTGTCCAACGGTTTGCGACCTCATGGACTCTAGACCCCTGGCCATGCTTCTCTGTCCATGGGCTTCTCCAGGCAAGAATGCTGGAATGGATAGCCATTCCCTTCTCCAGGGGACCTTCCCAACCCAGGGATCAAATCTACAGTCTCCTGCATTAGCAGACCGATTCTTTACACTCGGAGCCACCAGGAAGGCCCCCTCCGCAGTGCTTCAGGGAAGTTGTATTTCCAGGTGGAACATTAGAGGGACTTGTTCTCTACAAGATGCAGCATTTGAGGACTGGGCAACCTGCCCCTAACCCTGGAGGATGTGGAGAAAGGCTTTCGGGGCTCTGGGGGGCTGCAGCGTGCCCAAAAGCCTTAGAGTATAGGCTCCAAGTAGGGGTGCACTCCCCCTCTGTGCGGTAGTTCACACCCTCACCCTGCAGGACTCAGGCTTCAGCCTGGAGGTTGAGTGCCCTGTACTGTCCTGCTCTTTGCCCCCAAGGTGGGAAGAGAAGGCCCTGTCCTGCCGACTAACTGGATTTTGCCCTTGTTATCCAGCTACCAATCCGCCTTTTGAGAAAAGAGCTTTATCGAGGGAAGATCCGCCCGCATGGAGACAGGAGGCAAAGCAATTAAACCTGTCTCCTTAATCCAGGCTTCAGGGCAAAATTTAAAGGGTTAGGGGAATTTCAAACTTGGAAGCTGACTGGCTGCTCTTGGATGAGTCCCTATAAGCTACTCCTATTGCTAGAAGCCAGATTTTCCTGACTGAAGGACACCTTGCTTTTTAAAGGGCTCTGGTGGCATCCTACCTATTCTTTGAGCACTGTAGACTGAAGATTCTTGGTTCCAGGGTCATCCTGAAGACGTCCCCTCTTGCACTGGGCACAGTGCTGTTTCTTTAAAATAGAATCAAGGTTTCATTAATCAATCAACCTATTTAAGGAGGAAAAACCAGTTTCAGCTGATGCTTTTCCCGTGCTGTTTTACGCGGGTGCCTCCATCAGTGACTGTAACCATCAGGGGGGTCTGAAGGGCAAATTCTCCCAGCTGATCTTTTGGTCCATCCCCAGATGGTGACACCGATCTGGCATTGGGACGAGAAGTGTCTGAGCCAGAGCACTGCAAGAGTCAGGGGCCATCCTGCCCAGTGGGACCAGCAGAACCCACCCCACCCCCAGTGGGCAGAGGTGGAGACCAACCTGCCACTGGGAACCTCTGTGGCTTCCTGTGATGTTCTGTGAGGAAGCAGGGGTATCCTGGAGTGGCCTCTCCCCTGGCAGGATTAGGGGCAGGGAGGGTCTCAAGAACAGGAGTCTTGTGGATTCAGGTGGGATGAGCATGAAGTCAAGTCCCATTTCAGGGTGACCCTAAGAGCAATACTGTCAGTGTTGCTGGGATGTTGTTGCTGGTCTGCCTGATGCTTTGAGTTGAGATGATCAAAAGGCAAATGCAGAAGGTACAGGTGGGGAGCAGACCAGCATGGGAGGCTTTAGAGGGACATGATTTTTAGTTCCTTACTTGGATTAAAGAGTGCCAAACAGTCTTTGAAACAATAAGAACAAAGTTAGTCTCAGCCGGGCTTTGGGATGACCAGGCTTAAAGAAACCTTTCAGATTATATGTCCATGAGACACGAAGCATAAGTCTCCTAGCATTAATTCAAACTCTGGGGAATATCCCTCCACCTGTTGCCTACTTCACAGAACAACTTGAGCAGACTGTTAAGGGATGGCCATTCGAGCTGGAGCAGCTACTTGTGACAGACTTCAGGAAGCTGAGAAGTGTACCCTGGGCCAAGCCACCACTGTGTTTTTCCCTTACCATGTCCTTTCTTTTTTTTTTAAAAAAAAAATACTTATTTTTAACTGAAGGATAATTACAATAATTTACAATATATATAATAATAATTCACAAATATAATAATTTACAATATTGCTTTGGTTTCTGCCATACATCAACATGAATTAGCCATAGGCTATATATATGTTTCCCTCCCCTCTGACCCTCCGTCCCACCTCCCACCCTTTCCCACCCCTCTAGGTTGTGACAGAGCCCCAGTGTGAGTGCCCTGAATCATAGAGCAAGTTTCCATTGGCCCTCTATTTTACATATGGTAGTAGATATGCTTCCGTGCTGCTCTCTCCACTTTTCTTACCCTCTCCGTCCTCCCCACTACCTGGTCTGTAAGTCTGTTCCTATGTCTGCATCTCCACTCTAGTGAGGTGGGCGACCTATGTCCTTTCTCTGCTGGAACAAAATAGGGGCCGTTGACAGACTTCTGGGAGAGTGGGAAAGTACTAAGCCATCCTCTTAGACCCTCCCAATGTAAGATTTCAAGTCAATGCTGCTGCTGCTAAGTCGCTTCAGTCGTGTCCGACTCTGTGCGATCCCATAGATGGCAGCCCACCAGGCTCCCCTGTCCCTGGGATTCTCCAGGCAAGAACCCTAGAGTGGGTTGCCATTTCCTTCTCCAATGCATGCATGCATGCTAAGTCGCTTCAGTCATGTCCGTCTCTGTGTGACCCCATGGACAGCAGCCCACCAGGCTCCTCTGTCCACGGGATTCTCCAGGCAAGGAGACTGGAGTGGGTTGCCATTTCCTTC